AACTTGTTTTAGCTGAACTGACATCTTTCTCATCATATGTAGGCATCAGTCTATTTACCCCCATTTTATTCTACTATGTACACCTTTATGTGATTTGTATACTGTGGATAGGGTTTGCTGTATGAATATGAATTATTATAAGATTATTGAGTTCAACAATAACATTATCTCTCTTTCATCAGGGACCTCATATGGAATCATCAGATGTCACAACTCCATACACAAGAACTTTTTATTTTGCTTTTTATACATTTTGTCAACAAACATTGGTGCTGGAAGTAAAATCCCTTTAGTATAAACTCCATATATATAGAGAGGCACAGAGGTCACACTGTGATAACACATCATGCATTGCATAACACATACAAGCATGCACAAGGAAACCGGAAACTGCCTTTTCTATCTCAGCAGTTTTCTCTGTGCATGTTTTTCATTTGCTGTAATAAAATTGTCCCCTCACAAACTGTATTAATGGTAATTTTTTTTTTGGTTGTTACTGTCATGCGCTGCTACTTTTACATTCGTTAAATATAAAGTGATATATTTACTGTATTTATTGGTGACGGTGTTCTAAAATCTAAATCTGAAGTGTTAAACTCAAAACAAAACATGAAAATACATTTACATGTTTTTCCAACGTTTTACGTTTTGTAATGTCAGATATTTAAATTATTTCACCAGAACAGCCTAAAAGGCAGTTGCATATGCGATTGTCTAAGTTGTAAAGATCAAAAACACATTTTCTTTCGAAAACAAATAGATGTTGTTCACATTTGAGTTGTACGTCTACGTTAATATGCTTTTAATTTGAAAACAGAAAGCCGGAAGCGTTGTAGCTGTTAGCAGAACAGCAGAGCTAGCAGGACATTGAAACCAATGTAGCCTAATATCTGTGTTTTAGCAGAATCATTCTGTTTCAGTTGTCTTTAAGACTTATAATTTGTGATACAGGTTTTTAAAAGGCCTTACTGGATTAAATCCAAGCTGCACAGAATGTTGGCTACCGGAGCAGTAAGTAAATACGACTATTAACTTTCTAAATGAGCTAGCATGAGCTAACCTGTATGTCTAGCTACATGTTAGCCTGGCTATCTTGTGCTAGTTCAACGATATTGATTATGCTAATCCAGAAATGTAGTCTCTTTTGCCTTCTACATGTCTGAGATAGACTGTAAAGTCATACTGTTGAATCCAGCAAGACTACTGTCGCAATATTGACCTGACTTCATATAAATTGTCAGATTTCAATCCGAAAATCTGTAAATTTTATAAAGCCTCGCTTTTTTTCAGGTGTGTGCAATGTTGGACTGTAAAGCAGGCTGTTCAGAAATATCTTTCTGGACCACTCTTTAATTCGGCATGCATCAAATACACTTCACATTGCATATTCATTTACAGTTATCACTTTTGGAATTGGTATATTCTAAAACTGACAAACTGCAACAGTATCAGATATAAACCAGACTGCATCACACTATGACAGATTATAAATGGGGGCATTGTCTCTGTTAAAGGCTGTACTGTTGCTACATTGTCTGTATTGCTTTCAGGCTGTAACCACAGCACTGGCACAAGTGGACAGAGAGAAGATCTACCAGTGGATCAATGAGCTGTCCAGTCCAGAGACCAGAGAGAATGCCCTCCTGGAGCTCAGCAAGAAGAGGGAGTCTGTACCGGACCTGGCTCCCATGCTGTGGCACTCCTGTGGCACCATAGCTGCCCTGCTACAGGTGAGTGAGGGCGCTGTTTTCTGCAGGTTACATGTGGTAGAGTCACACCAAGGTGGGCAGGAGAAGCACAGAGAGCGACTCGGATGCTTTTGATGTTCATCGAAATTAACCAGCTTTAATAAAATGTATTTTATTTATTTTTTTATAAATTCTCGATTAACTGATTAGTTGTTTGGTCCGTAAAATGTCATCAACTGTTTCCCAAAGCATAAGGCGACATCCTCAAATGTCTTGTTTTGTCCACAACCCAAAGACATTTAGTTTACTGTCATAGAGTGCTAAAGATACCAGAAAATATTCACATCCGAGATGCTGAAATGAGAGAATTTGGACAATATTAATGATGGTTCAAAACAACTATTTGATTAGTCGATTAATTGTTGCAGCTCTGTTATAAAACCTGGCTTTATCTCTATTTTCACTCTTGCCATTACTAGGAAATCGTCAACATCTACCCATCAATCAACCCCCCCACCCTGACGGCACACCAGTCCAATAGAGTATGTAACGCTCTTGCACTCCTCCAGTGTGTGGCCTCCCATCCAGAGACAAGGTAACTGAAGTGATATGAACAGTACATAATGAATGATGATGAATTAGGAAACATGCAGTACTGAAGTCAATCAAACACAAATCTAAAAGCAGTTTTGTCATTTACAGGTCAGCTTTCCTGGCTGCACACATCCCGCTCTTTCTCTACCCGTTCTTACACACAGTGAGCAAAACACGGCCATTCGAATACCTCCGCCTCACCAGCTTAGGTGTCATAGGTAAGTAATCCTCAATCCACTGATGACTCATGAGCACACAGTGTAAAATTTGGTTTCAGTTCCCAACGTTTCCTCCCCACAGCCTCCATTGTTGTATTGTTGTATTTTTACATACATAACCCTTAGTTTGATGGCCGTTACAGCTGATGACACTGCAGTGGTGTGTGTTCTATGGTTTGTGCAGATCCACACTACTGAGCTGGTTGTACTGAACCTGTGTGTCCTAATGTGCCTGCTCACATTTAGTTCATTATCACCCATGTCCGTACCTGTGAATTTATAGAAACATATTTTTATACCCGTCCCACAACTGTTTTGCGGGTTACCTGTCGGATACCTGGTGCCATTCATTATATTAGTATTTGAACTTCACCTATGCTATGGTATTACAGACCTAAATGTTTTGGTGCACCCACCGCGAAAGCATCCTGTTGCAGTTGCTCCTGCTTGTCTTATTATTTTCCCTGATGAATTTCCCTGTGGCGATCAATATATAGTACATAGTAGTATAGTATTTCTGATTTCTGATTCTGATTTCTGATTGCAAATGTAACTTTAATCATCATATCATCATTCATATCAGTTCCTTGCGTCAATCCTGTGTAGGTGCTTTGGTGAAAACCGACGAGCAGGAAGTGATCAACTTCCTGTTGACCACAGAGATCATTCCCTTGTGCCTTCGCATCATGGAGTCTGGCAGCGAGCTCTCCAAGACGGTACAGCGACACGATTTTATTCTTCCCAATACATCCAGTGTAGTGGAGTGGAGATATTCTGCATATTGCATATTAACTCTATCGATATATGACCTGAAGACAACCCGAGTCAGTAATGGCCAGCTTCAACTTGTGGTACAATTGTGTTTTTTAGGTTGCAACCTTCATACTCCAGAAGATCCTCCTGGATGACACAGGGCTGGCATATATCTGTCAAACATATGAGCGCTTCTCCCATGTCGCTATGATTCTTGTAAGTTGCTCATATTTTAATGATTATTCAAATGTAATACATTAATGAGCCCTTTTTCCTTTTGGCCTTACCGTCTGTTTCTCCGTTTCAGGGCAAAATGGTCCTCCAGCTCTCCAAAGAGCCGTCAGCCCGCCTTCTGAAACATGTAGTACGCTGTTACTTACGCCTGTCTGACAACTCCAGGTATTTTTTATCACTGAAAGAATAACTCAGAATCCCAAAAGGCTATTATCTATCGGTCAGAATCCCAACACAAATGTCGGTTTCAGTACCAGAGCTGTCTATTGAAATCGATAGTTAACATTACTTACCTTAGATCTGGCGACACATGGGATACACTTGAAAGCAGAACATCAACAGGCAGTGTGGGCATCCTTGACCCCACCAGTGGGAGAGCGTAGATAGAAACACACGATGCAATGTGTCATATTGACTTTCCATTTATATCTATGATGGAGAGACCACTGATGATGACGACAGCAGCCTTTCCTCAGGTTAGCAAATATTAGAATATTTGTTCAAGTTTGAAGCTGGAGTTTGTAGAATACCAAGTCCAAATGTATTTTGCTGTTATTAGTACTGTAAGTGTTATTTAGTGTTAAATCATTATAGTTAGCGTTAGAATTTGTTATAGAAATAAAGTGTTTTGTATTTTTTTCTATTAATATATTATTGAATGGGAAGCTATCAAAAAGTAAATATTATAGAAAAAGAGAGTACAGTAATTAATTAGAGTAATTGAAAGCACCTGTACATTTGGTGTTAACTGTCCTATCAGAGGGGAAACAGTATTTAGAACTTAAACTAAACTCTCCATGATGAAAGATGCTGGTGTTTAGAGGTGGGCAATATAGGCATTTAGCTGTATCCAGAAACTACACTATATTGTGATGTAATAAAGTATGTGGACAATAAGAAGAGAAACAAATAGATGGAATAACTAGAAAGCAATGTCTGTTTTTGGCTGACCTAGAAAATAATATACCTGACAAATGTGGTACATCATACCATTAATGCAAAAATCATGTAAAAGTCAGATAATGCCATCAATCCATCATTGGTTCAAACCATTTACCATATTTAACAGTATAGCCAAATCTTTAAGTAGACACGTTTGAATCATTTTATAGTACATGCCATCATATTGCCCACTCCTAACGATGTGATGATTACGTAAAAACATATGTTGGTGCTGGTGGGAGCGAGACCGTCGGGGCAGTGTATCCATGCCTTACCTGTGTTTGTGTCTTGTTTGTTTTCAGAGCCAGAGAAGCTCTGAGGCAGTGCCTCCCTGACCAGCTCAAAGACACCACCTTCGCCCAGGTCCTGAAAGATGACACCACCACCAAACGCTGGCTGGCCCAGCTGGTGAAGAACCTGCAGGAGGGTCAGGTCACTGATCCCCGCGGCATCCCTCTCCCCCCACAGTGACTGCCCCCCCCCGCTCCTCACTACCCTGAGGAACACCAGCAAAAACTGCCTAACAGACGAGCCTTCAATCATGGACACATGGATGGACTGTTTTTATGAGAGACTTTCAAAGGAAAGGCTGCTGCCTGATTATTTTCGTGTTCAGATGTGCCAGCGAACAGCTTGATCCTCTGCACTTCCGTTGCGTTGAATTCAGAGACATTCACATTTGTTGCCTCGCCATGTGTTCTGCAACTGATTTACAGATCTACAATAAATTGTTGCACAACGAAAAACAGCTTCAGCACATTCTCTGCTGCAGTAACTCTGCCAAATACATTGCCATTAAAAGTATTTAATACGCTGGTGGTTTGTGACGCCTTCTGTATGACCTGTAGCTGTGTGTTACTGATAAGATATCTTAATGGAATATTTCAGTATTAAAGTACGCTAATGTGGAGAGTAGAAGCTTTTTGCAAATGAATGCTGTCACCAGCTCCAGTGGATTAGCGAGTCTTCTTGCTTTCATTGGTTGGTTGGTTGGTTGGTTAGGTTTAAGTATAAAGAGTGAGATTGGTTAGGGAATGTCAGGGTAAGCCAAGCAGAGTAGGGCGGGTCATGATTTCACCATTCTGGGGGGAAAAAAAATACAGGAAAGGCGTAGGTTGACTGAGGCTTGCTCAACTGTTATTGGAACACAGAGCAAAAAGGGGAGGGACTTAGGAAGAGTCAATTAGAAGGAAAATTAAACAAGCGTCCAAAGGTGCTGTTCCCTCAAAAAAACAGAAAAACATGGTAAAAC